CAGTAGCGTCGATTATCTCCCTACTTCCAGTTTTGTACAGTCGTTCCCACTCTCATGCAGTTTCAGCTTCCGCTTTCTGTAAGCAGGTAACTTTTTGTGTTGTAGCCATAGTCACAGTGAAACGGTGTAGCAATGTGTATACTACTACCAAGCCGACTACTGACCAGATTGTCTCTGTAACGAGGCTGAGTCCACGCTGCCTCTACAACCGCTCTGAAATAGCGCTCGCGCATACGTTGCGCAGCCTCGGGTACCACACCGACGGTGTTGTTGAGGCGGTGTAGTACAGCTGCGCATTGCCTTCGATCCTCAACTAACTGAAAACTGTAGGGCATAAAAGGCTCTCCATCTAACATCTTCTGCTTCTCAGTTTTTAGGGAACTTGCTGCTGGTTTATGCCAAGATAGCGATGATCTTAGCAACGCAGCAGTTGGGATAGCTAACAATGAAAATTGAGATGATTGTGCTCTCTGTTGGTGAGCCTCAGAAGCTACTGTAGAAGGATCAATAGTGACACACCCCATACTATCCGGTATCTGATTATGTACGGGTAGGTTGTGATATGACAAAGGTGGGGTTTGAATAGGATGCGCTACTCGATGGTCTTGGTTAGACGTGTCTCTCTCGTGAACAGGTACAGGCGCAAGCGGAGATGGACAATGAGCAGGCAGAGATGGCTGCTTCCTTAGATACAATTTGTGGGACAGATCATAGCTGTCCGTCTCCCTGCTCGATGCAAGCGATTGATACCTGCGTTCTTCGCCAGTAACGGCACTGTCGACAGCGTCTGCACTTTGGACGAGAACACAGGGGTCTTGGTGGATTCTCCGACTGCTACCGAGGCTAGGCTCGCTGTTGAGTATATATGCAAGGTCGTAACGGCGTGGTCTGCTTTGGGGCTCCATTGGGGAAGCATCACTATACTGCAATAAGTGGATGTCGCCCTGAGGTGGTTCGTGGGACCAAGTAGTCCGTCGCTGACTATACCTGCGATGATCTCCCGGAGATTGCATGTTATTATTATTATTATTATTATTCCATTATAGTCTAGTGAGCCCAGGGCTATGTAAGACTTTGGCCGAGGCC